CATGTTACTAGTTTTACTTCTTTAGGGTATATATCAAGTAAAAAGTTTGCTGAGTGATATGTTACTTCTATTTCCATATCACTTTGTAGAGTGGTTGTGCAGTTTTACAGTTCCACTAGCAATGTATAAGTGTTACAATTTCTGTGTGTATTATCCACTAATACTAATATCCCCATTGCCATCAAGTCAATTCTGACTCATAGCAACACTATAGGATGGTATTGAGTTGCTCCCTAGGGTTTCCAAGGCTGTAAATCTTTATAGAAGTAGAAGGTTACAGCTTTCTTCAACAGAGTGGCTGGTGGTTTTGAACTCTTAACTTTGTGGCTAAGTGCCCATAGCAAGAGGCACTCTGCCAACAGAACTCCACATTCTCTTCAGCATTTGCTATTTTCTGTTTTGTTTTTAATTAATAATTTATGCTTTTGGTTTTCCTTAAAAAAATATTGCCATCAATGCCAGTGTGAGGTAGTGTCTCATCATTGTTTAACTTTGTATCTTTCAAATGCCTAGTGAATGCAAGTAATTCTTCAGATGTTTGTTAGCCTACCTGGATGTCTTCCTTGGTAAGTTGTCTGTTTATGTCCTCAGCCCATATTTTAATTGGATTATTCATCTTTTTTTAGGTTGTTTTTGAAGTCTTCTATGGATCTGATATATTAGTTCCTTTTCTGATATTATTGCTAGAAATGTTTTCCCAGTCTGTGGGTTCTCTTTTTACTCTTTGATGAAATATTTTGATGCACATAGTGTCTGTTTTAAGGAGATCCAATTTATCTATTTTGTCTCCTGCTATGTGTTTTTTGTTTTATAATTTATTTATGCCATTTATTGGGGTTTTTAAGTGTATCCCTACTTTTTCATTGATAATCTTTAGTTTTAGTATTTACATTGAGGTCTTTGATCCACCATAAATTTGTTCTTGTAAATAGAGTGAGCTAATACATCATATTTCATTCTTATGCAAATGGAAAGGAGCACTGATGGTGTTGTTACCCTTTGGCTGAGATTCACAGGATCAACTGTTCAAAACCACAACAATTCTGCTGGAGGAAGACTGGGCTTTCTACTCTATGAAACAGTTACAGTCTCAGAAACACATAGGTCAGTATTGACTTAATGGCAGTGTGTTGAGTTGAGGTGCAAATGGAAATATAATTTTGCCGATGCTATTTGTTGAGATCATCTCTCCCCACTTTAATGTATCTTGCCCTTTGTCAAAGAGCAGTTGTCTGTAGGTGAATGGATTACTTTCTTAGGTGTCTATTCTGTCTCATTGGTCAGTGTATCTATTGTTGTACCATTATCAGGTGGTTTTGACTACTAAGTATCAGGCTGCGTATTTGGTTTTGAACTTAGGATAAAGAGGTCTTCAAATCTGTTCTTCTAAAGTAGTGTTTTGCTTATCTTATGTGTCTTTCCTCTCCATATAAAGCTGGTGGTTAATTTCTTCATTTCTTTAAAGAAAGATGTTGGCATATGAATTGGAATTACATTATCCGTATAAACTGCATTGTGTAGTACTGGCATATTCACAATGTTAAGTCTTCCTATACATGAACATGGAACATTCTTCTGATCACGTACTTGTACAAGGCCCATACTTTTAATTTTTATTTATATTGGTAGATTACCTTGATTGATTTTCTTTTTTTATAATATTATTGGTATTCCATCCACATATCATATAATTCAATAGTTCAATCATATCAAGAAGAGTTGTACAATTACCTCAATCAATTTTAGAACATTTTCTTCTTCTGTGTACTCAGTTTTATTCATGCAACATTTTTCAATTTTGGCAAAAATATATACAACAAAGTATTCTACAATTCAACAAATTCTATAATTCAATAATTCATTGCCATTGATTATACTCTTCATGTTGTACAATGATTATTGCTATCCCTCTCCAAATTGTTACATCATTAAAATAAATTCAATGAATTTGGTGTTCAACTAGAAAAAATGAATTTCATACAATGATGATATGTTACTTCTATAAAATTGGTTGAAAGATGAGTGTATAAAATACCAAAAAAATTTAACCATGTTTTAAAATTAAAACTAATATTCATTTTCTCATGTTAAAATCTAGATTACTATTTTCATGAGTATAACCTTTAAGTGTGTTTACTTTGTGAAGGATTTGTGAACAGGAATTAGTAGCATTTAATTTGTTCTAGGGGGTAAAAGCAGAATTTGTCTACTAATGAGCCTTCTATAAATATACTTGGAATAACATAAAAATATAATATTCACATGGCAAAGATATCTTCAGGTAATGAATTCTATATTAAAGACAACTCCCTATGACTGCAATGAAAGCATCTTAAAGAAAAGAACTACTTTCACAAACAATAGGAAAAATGACATTTATAAATATTAATACTTATGTGTGATTCCAAACCTATTTCTATTCATTTGATTGTGACTCATAGCAACTGTAGGGGGCAGAGTCTAACCATCCCATAGGGTTTTCAGGTCTTATTTTCAAGGAAGATTGCCACATCTTTCATCCATAGAATGGTTGGCAGATATGAACTACTAAGCTACACATAATAATGTAGTTTCTGATATTCAAAAATTAAATCCAAATGTTTACTTAGTTAAGCCCATGTTACAAGGGTAATACATCCTCACTTACATCTAAGATTTAGATAAAAAGATGCTTCATTTGTATATGATAGCAAAATAGGAAACTGTATCCCAATATATGTAATATATCGATAAGCATAATGGTACAGGTTCCTTTTTATTATAATCATTCCTACATGTATAAATGTAAGATTTTTTACAATATAACAACATACAAGGTTAAGTCAAATACCAGTGATACCAAATCATAAAAATTTTAATAAATAAAAATACTCAAATGTGAAGCTATTGTTTCTCAAATATCCACCATCTAAACCTATAGATTCTGAAAGTTGTCTTTAAATCTTTCCAATCATTCACTAAAGAATTCTGTGCTGTTTGACTTACACCATGTCAAAATGGCATTAATTCTAGTTTCATATCCTGAGAGTCTCAAATCATGTTATGTCATTATGTCAACTCTCTTGAAGTTATGTTATATGTTTTTCTGCTTTGTGAAATTCAGGATTGATGAACCTATAGGAACAGCAAGTAGAATAAAAGGTTTTGAGGGGGTTGAGGTGGGGAGTGTATAGTGGTGGTGGTGGTGGTAATAGATTAAAGCAGTGGTTCTCAACCTTCCTAATTAAAGCTGTGGTTCTCAACCTACCTAATGCCGCAACCCTTTAATACAGTTCCTCATGTTGTTGGGACCCCCAACCATAAAATTATTTTTGTTGCTACTTCATAACTGTAATTTTGCTACTGTTATGAATCATAATATAAATATCTGATATGCAGGATGTATTTTATTTGTCAATATAATTAGAGCATAGTGACTCATCACAAAACAATATGTAATTATATATTTTGAAATATTTATTTC